ATTGGCGATTGTCCCTGTCCCTGAGATGCGGATCCGTAGGGCTGCTGGTATGCTTGACGAGCCTTATCTGGACTAGCAGTTCTTGTATCCGACTTGAGCACTCCCAAGAGTGCCATAGAGTGATTAGAGAGGTGACTGCTAGGCGGCTTGGGCTGATACATCATGCTCTGGCTTTGCTGCTGGAAGTGTGCTGGTTGATATTGAGCATTCGCCATGGGTTGGTTGACAGTCCCCTGTGCGTGTTGAGGGGGCGGCGGGGGTGTGCCGTCGGCGAACGCATTTCGGTTCAGCAGAATCTTTTGAGCTTGAGGCGGCAATGGTTGAGGATGCCTCAGGGGCGGCTGTGGCAGTTGGGCAGGGCCACCCATCATTGAAGGACCGTATTGCCTGGCTTGAGGATGAGCTGAGCCAGCATTTCCAGACTGTTGGAAAGCCCAAGCCTGTGGTGTTCCATCTGGACCGATGGGGAATGCCGGAGGAGCTTGATAACTCGCCAGCGGTGCCCGTTGCTGAGGGTGATGCTGACCATGAGGGCTTTGAGGCTGTGGAGCCTGCCTGATAGTATGATCGAGGGGCGTCTGAGGGAGGTGCGAGACTGGGACCCCTTGGGCGACTGCTTGATTCTTGGCCTGCAGGATAGCGAGCAGCGATGCTCCTTTGTCTGCTCCAATATCCGGAGAAGCTGGCTTCGATGTTGCTTGCGCTGCCGTGGGATGGACCTTCAATAGACGCTGCAATTCCTGTGTTGCACCCTCCAGAGTATCGAGGCCCGGCGTCCGAGTCGAAACATCAGTCGCGGGTTCGGTTTGCCAAACTTCGTCTTCAGTGACAGGCTCTTCGTGAAGAGAGTACGGGTTGAAGTGCGCCTCGTTGGCAGCCTTGACAGCATCTTTCCTCTTTTGCTGCACGACCCATTTCTTCAAAGGGACCAGAAAGGGTGCAACCATGTAAAACTTGTTCGCATTGGCGGCGGCGGCGGCTTCGTTTTGAGGTTGGTTTCCTTTCTTTCGAAAAGCGGGTAATTCGGATAGTTTGTACCACTGAATCTTGCTGATCTCTTTCCTCGTCCGTGGCTCGAAGTGGGTGTCCATCGGTACGTCGCGGAAGACGTAGAGCCTCAACTGCTGCTCTCTCATGGTGACCTCGATGTACTTGACGTCTTCTCTGTTCTTGGGAACCAGGCCAGCAGCATGCAAATCGTATCCTGTCTCCTCGTATACCTCACGAACGGCGCATTCAAGGTCATCTTCGTCTTTGTTGATCTTCCCGCGAGGAAAACTCCAGTTGGCGCCCTTCTTCCAGCCTTTGACCAAGATTGTCGAGTCCATAGCCTCGTTGAGCATGATGGCTCCCCTCACAGGGACTCGAGTCTTGTACTGCAAGAACTCCTCAAAAGCCTTTGTATGATTCTCGACCGAAAACGGAGCTAGTAGGGGACAATGTTGGAAAATTCGAAGACTGAAACTTCGAAGTGTCATTGAAGGAAGCGTGGGGTCAAGTGGCCGGACGAAGTCTTCGTAGAACCATTGTGCCTCCTCTATTTGGAAACAGATGCGAGCAACGGACGACAGGTCTTCTTCAGGTAGGTTGATGATAAATCGAACACATAGATCGTCCAACCCTATGTACTGTTAGTCCTGCCGCAGCAACTGTCATGAGTTGATGGCGCAAGGCTGAGTAGCTATCGCCGTGTATCTTCCAAGGTGTGGGGCAACCAACAATCCTCTAACTGCATCTTTTCTTCGGCCATGTTGCGCGATGGCTAATAACATGTCCCAAGGACGATATTTCTATTTTAGTCGGGTGTACCTGGCGAGGGAGTAAAGGTGGCGAAATGCTCCTGGCAATGAGTCTGTGTTGAGGTCGAGTTGAGGAACCGTTGCATGGTACGGAAGGAGAGGCTTGGTATTTGGTCGGGCTCAAAGCTTTCCGCTTGCGACCGGATTGCGCGTGCTGCAACGAGAATCGGCAGCGACGGGCAATTCAGCGGATCAAGGAGGATGGAGTTGCGGGACAGGTGTGGCTTTCCAGGGATGCGGTATGTTTGTTGTTTGGAGCGGATGCGCTGACAAGCGGCCTCTCAGATGTGGTGGTGATGATTTGGAGTTTGGATGAGGTAGGGTGCGGAGTAGTGACGGGCACTGCACGTCTTTGTTGACGATGGCAGATACTGCAACGTCAGGCAGCTAAGGTAAGGTAGGTAAGGTACAGCGTAAGGTAGGTAGGTAGCTGGAATCCCCGTGGGCCCGTTCCTCGAGATGCCTGACTGGATGCCGTGGTCGCAAGCTGCTAAGCGAGCTCGTGATTGGGTGTAACCTCCCCATCTCCGTAGGTGTCAAATAGCGCACTGTCTCATAACACGTCGAGTCCAACAATGATCACAGTGCGCATAGATTGTGCGGCCAAACTGTCATGACACAGCCCATCTCTCCAGCTTGTCAACCACATCAGATCAACACCTCGCTTCCATCCGGTCTCGACCGCTCCCTGTCAGCTATATGTTGCCTCAACTGTTGAAGAAATTAAGCATGGAGGCCAACAGGCAAGCCCCCTCAATAGCTTTTCATCCTATGACAATTTCCCTTCGGTGGAATGCACCCGAGAGGTGGGAGCTTCCTTGATTCAAGGGGCGAACATTGAAGATTCTGGAGAAGAACACAGCCACAATATGGCTGTGCACATACATCACTTGCCACACTTGCGTGGCTGGACGTGCCGGCCTCTCTTCTCTCTCTCACTGCTGAGTCTGCTGGCAGGCCCCGTGAGTGCTTTTGTGTGCTGCATTGCATGCAATTCAGGGCCATTGAAGACCAGTCGCGGCGCACGCTCATTGGAGACCAGCCAACTGGCCGCTGCAGCATGATGTGAAACGACTGCGGTCTAGCCTGCTCAGACTCCACTGAAGAGGCCTCTCGGAACTGAGGCACTTGCATTGGCGTGCAGTGACCGACAAAATTACATCATGATGGTAGTCTGGTCCCCTGGCTTGTCAAAACAGGAATTCTGGGCGCCCGCGGGGGAAAACAAGCGTCCAAGGGACCAACCTCTTGTAACTTAGCTACAAACCGACCTACGTAGTGTGCAATGAGCACAAGAGGCAACTTGATCTACGCAGTACCATACCACCTATACAACCCATACCTTACCACACCTTGGCAGCTCGGACCCTGCCAGCCAGCTTCCCGGCTTTTCTCTCAACACCTACTTATATCACCAAGACCGGTCCTCTCGCTCGGTTGTCGCATCCGTCTTGGAACCTCTTGACCTTTGACAACCTTACCTTCAGGAATACCTACCAGCTTGCCAAGGTATTCTTACTTCAATCTAAGCCAAGAGCACAGAGGGCCGCCTTGCGAAAGCTTTTGTCAACAACGGTCCTGACGAGCTTGTCTCTGTTTTAGTGCGCCACTCATCACTACCAGTGACTGGGAAACACCGTTCTTCGCAAACCGGCACTCACACACAACCTAAAGGTTCGGCACTTCGTCAACGATACAACTGCAAACATGGCCAGTCTCATCGCCAAGTGGGTCAGCAAGAAGATTCTTGCTGAGAAGGTCGAAAACAAATTTGGCCGCGAGGTACGTTACCTTCTTACACCTGGGCCCTGTGCTCACCTGCGATACGGTGGATCCACGAACAAAATATACTGACCTCATCACCAGGACCCTTACTTTGAGAGCGTCCCCGCCACCAGGCTTGATGGTACCCCCAACGGCAAGGTCAAGAAGCGCAGAAAGGCCTTGCCGCCTGGCCTTTCCAAGCAAGATGGCGAGGTTTTGACCAAAGTCAAGAGAAGAGCCTACCGTCTCGATCAGTCGCTTTTCAGCTGCTGTGGTGTGAAATTTGGATGGGGTAGCGTCATCGGTTTAGTTCCTGCGTAAGTGCCTGTCCTCCTCCCCTGCTGCTGCATCGCCCCCACAGTCCCCATTCGGCTTATCGACAAGACAACGACTAACATCATGTTTGTTGGCTTTAGTGTTGGTGATGTTCTCGATGCTTTCATGGCCATGATGGTGTTCAGAACCTGCTCTAAGGTCGAAGGTGGACTCCCAAATTCAGTCAAATCCCAGATGATGTTCAACATCATTATCGATTTCGTCATTGGCCTGGTGCCTTTCGTGGGCGACATCGCTGACGCTGCTTTCCGCGCCAACACCAAGAACGCCATCCTTCTCGAGGAGCATCTTCGCGAGAAGGGAAAGAAGAACCTGAAGCGCAGCGGAGCTCCCATTCCAGCCGTCGACCCGAGTGAGGCAGATGAATGGGATCGCTTGCAAGGCGACCGCACTCCGCCCGAATACGTCAGCCGTGAGCCTTCTCGCAATGGACACATGTCAGCAGGCCGCCACGAACGCACACCAACTGCTCCAGCCGCCGCTGCAGTCAGAAAGGAGCGTCCCAGCGGTCGAGGCTGGTTCGGGTTTGGAGGTCGCTCGAGAGTTGATGACGACGTTGAGGCGGCTCGCGATCCCAGAGACAGACCTGCTCGTCAATCGCGTCATTAGACTACCGGCTGCTCGAAAAACACTTTTCAAGAAAAAGAAGAGTCGAATGTCGGAGTTGGCGATGACGACACATGGGGTGACCCGTCGGAATTCGCGGTGGCTGGAAAGCACACTTGGTGTTTGCGTGTAGCCTATGGATGGTCAAAAGATGACGGACACTTGGTCTGCCTGGCTCTGCATGCTTGTTTTATGAAGACTTGGACGAAGAAGATGAACATGACACGAAACTTTTTCTTTTACATACCCACACTGCTTTAGTTAAGCTGTCAGTAGTTTAATACGATTCACTAGAAACATTAAGGCTTTGCAAAGAGTTGACGTGTACGTGACACATCAACTGTTTGGATCTGGATGGGAATCCGAAAATCGGTGTCCGTGCCAACGGTCAAATTGACGATCAGACTGGTGATGGTAATTCCGCAAGTCCGTTTCCAACGCGTCGACCCGCAGCCGAGAGTCATACAGTCAGGATTTGTCGATGCTTAGACGAGATTACATGGCTGATGAGTCTTGGATGGGCCACTTGGGTTCCACTGAAGCTGGAGCTAGGACGTGTTCAGTTTATCAGATCTGATCTGATACCTGACATCGAAGTACCTAGGGGAAGGATGGGCTTGGAACGCGTCGAGTCGTAACGCCGAGGACGAATCCAGCTCAAAGAAGCGTGTGCAGGGCCGGGAGATGGGGCTTGTAGGCGGAAATGGGATATCTGGAACGTGTGTGGCTCGGCCGAAGCTCTCGAGTCTCCGGACAGAGCTTGCTCTGGTTTCCCGGCCATGACATCGTGTTGCCTGGTTGGCGTGCCGGGGGGTGGAACGCAAGCGGCCACTTCGGCGTCGTAGCTCGACCCAACTTACAAATGATGAGCATGTTGAAGAGGGAAAAAAGGGCCAAAAAAAGAGGGCTGGGCCTGGCATATTCCCTTTGGGACCACAGTCGGTAGACTTTTCTGCGCCAGGTCTTGGGCACTTTACAGGGTCTGGAAGTGGAAAGGTGAGAAGCGAGACAAGATCCTTCCACTTTGGAACGAAACGCGCCGGCGATGCCCCTGGAAGACGCGCTTTTCAGTGGGGTGGAGGGGAATTGACGGCGCGTGGATTCAGCTTTAAGTGCTCTGGGCAATCAGACCGGCTTCCATAGGTAGCCACCTACGAAAAAGGTACGAAGCTCGAGGTACCCAAGTACTTAGGTACTCCGTAGAAAACACGAAAACGCGAGTATCCCTGCCCTGTGCTCAACGCGTCCCACTACCTAGCGCTCGGTGCTGCTTGCCCGCTACATAAACTCTGCCTTTCCAGAGTTCCTCGACCATCAACAGACATCTTCTTCACTCCCAATCACGACAATACCACAGCCAAAGACAGACTCACGACCTCAATTTATTTCCTCCAAAGTCTTGTCTTCCCCTTCTTCCATTCAATTGCCTTCATTCCTCCTCTCCCACCACATTTTACACACTTCCGCCATGTCTATCGAAGTCACTCCGTCCAAGCAGGTAAGTAAACGTCACCACTCGGTTAAGCCGAGCTTGACTATGGTCCACGCGCTTTTCATGGTCGCAATCGCTAACAACCACTTCTCCAGGCCGCTGCTGCCCTCGACTCTTTCAAGATGGAGTCTCCCGTCAAGAAGCTCAACTTCAACCCCGCCGACAAGGAGAATCAGCCCCTCACATCCGACGTTGCCACCGCAACCGAGAAGAACGATGTTCAGACAAAGCCCACACAAGAAGTCAAGAACGAGAACAAGATTGTTATCGCTCCCGGCATCAAGGAGCAGGAGAAGGATGAGCCCCTCCTCCAGGAGAACGGCCAGCGCTTCGTCCTATTCCCCATCAAGTACCATGAGGTATGTGAACGCGTCGCAAGACGCGTAAAGTGGTTTGCTCGTTGACCCATGACTAACTCTTCACTTCCAGATTTGGCAAATGTACAAGAAGGCCGAGGCTTCCTTCTGGACCGCCGAGGAGATTGATCTCTCCAAGGATCTCCACGACTGGAACAACAAGATCAACGATGATGAGAAGTACTTTATCTCTCACATTCTTGCCTTCTTCGCCGCATCGGACGGTATCGTCAACGAGAACCTCGTCGAGCGCTTCTCCGGCGAGGTCCAGGTTCCTGAGGCTCGCTGCTTCTACGGCTTCCAGATCATGATGGAGAACATCCACTCCGAGACCTACTCCCTCCTCATCGACACCTACATCAAGGAGCCCGCGCAGCGCACCTACCTCTTCAACGCCATTGACACCAGTACGTGAACACAACCCTCGCCTCCATGACCGCATCGCTAACTAGCATCACAGTCCCTGCCATTCGCAAGAAGGCTGACTGGGCTCTGAAATGGATCAGCGACGAGAACTCCTCCTTCGCCCAGCGTCTGGTTGCCTTCGCCGCTGTTGAGGGTATCTTCTTCAGCGGCGCTTTTGCCTCCATCTTCTGGCTCAAGAAGCGTGGTCTCATGCCCGGTCTGACCTTTTCCAACGAGCTCATCTCCCGTGACGAGGGCCTGCACACCGACTTTGCCTGCCTCTTGTACTCTCACCTCAAGCACCGCCCCAACAAGCAGGTCATTGAGGACATCATCGTTGATGCCGTCAAGATTGAGCAGGAGTTCCTCACTGAGGCTCTGCCCTGCGCTCTTCTCGGCATGAACTCCAACTTGATGAAGCAGTACATTGAGTTCGTTGCTGACCGCCTCCTGGTCGCTCTTGGCAACGACAAGGTCTACAAGTCTTCCAACCCCTTCGACTTCATGGAGAATATCTCCCTTGGTGGCAAGACCAACTTCTTTGAGAAGCGTGTCGCTGACTACCAGAAGGCTGGTGTGCTCAACAGCACCAAGAAGGCGCAAGAAGAGACCAAGGTTGAGGGAGAGAACGGCGGAGACTTCGCTTTCGATGAGGACTTCTAAATCATCTTAGAGCGTCTGAAGTTTTTGTTGTTTCCTTTTCCCCCATATACCCTTGTACATTGCACACGCATGGTGTTTGCCAGAGCGTCATTTCACACTCCACACTCAAACCCCCTTCCCACACCTGAGCTGAGGTTTAGAGCTGTTTTTCTTTTCGTACATACATGGCGTTGGCGGGGATCATTTTACAGGGAGTTGGAGGTTCCCAAGGACTGGTTGGATGACTGTGGAAAATGGGGCATGAATGTCTTTGATGGATAATGTACCGCAGTGATTCTCTTTTTAGTAATCGCACATGATATAAGAACAACCGAACGTCTCTCTTTTGTGATGTGCTCTAGTGTTTTCCATCTGTTGCTCCTCACGAGCTTGTGCGCTCGTGTTGTTGCCACTCTGCTAAGAAATTCCCCTGAAATTCGTCTGAAGACGTCTTGCATACACATGCAAGCAGGCTTCAATGAGACTCGCTGAGGCCCTTTCGAATAGTGATGTGTTCTCCAAGATGTGTCTGTTGGCTGCGACTCTCCCAACATATCAGCCTTAATATTGTCCCCTACCCACGAACAGCTTTGCGTCTCCCACTTCCAACTAACCACCCCAGTACTGTCTCGTTCCCAATCCTCATTTCTTGCCCTTCTTCTTCTTCTTTCCACCTCCAGCAGCCTGGGGTTTCTCCACAGGCGTCGCCGCGCCGGCCGGCGTGTCCTCCCCACCCGCATCGGCCATCGGCTCGTCCTTGTTTGCGGCGGCGGCGTCCAATGTTGCCGGTTTCGAGGTGGACATTGTGCGGCCCAGGGCGCCGAGGCAGGTGATGAGGCGGGAGACCTCGGCGGCCTTTGTGGTGCGGTATTTGAGGGCGACGCCGCTGACCGGGTCGAAGGTCTTGATGACGAGGGAGCCGCGCGGGGGTTTGGCGTCTGTCATGGTTGCATCTTCTGCGGGTGCTGCGGCGGAGGCGTCCTCCGAGGTCTTGGTCTTTCGGGGTTTGACTGCTTTGATGGAGTACTTTGTTGTGATTCTAGTCTGTTTGGGGTGCTGGAGGTTAGCCGCCGCTACGTTTTCCCTCGTCCAAGGTTGGCAGATGAGTTGCTAATATGCGGGTCAGGCTTACGGTAGTCGGACGGGCCTGGAGGAGCAGAGACGACTGCTCCAGCCATTCCTGGCTGGTCTTGTAGGTCGGCATTGCGATGTGACGGTAGTGATGGAGGTGGAGAGAGGAGAAAAGGCCACGGCCTTGCGCGGTGGTCCGGTCTGTATGCGCGTACTTGGGAGGTGTTGTCGGTAACTGAGCGCCTGAGAAATGGCGATCCGAGTCTCTCGAGGAGGTAGGTTCGAGGAGTGTTCGCTAGGGTGTCGTGCGCGCCGTGGTGGTCGGAGTGACGTTGGGTGTCGTAGAGGTGGCCTGGCTTTGGTGGAGGACGCAATTTTGGTGGGGTTCGGCCATCCCAAGTTGAGGTACCCCGACCTTGCATGCCTGGCGAGGGGCAAGTTTAAGCCGCACACTTGGGACTGTCACCCCAAGCTCCAATACTTCACCATTCTAACATGCATATTTTCAAGACAAGATGATAACCAGTGATTTCCCAAGGTTTCAACAAAATTCATTCATGTCGACTTTCCTCAACGGGTTGGGGTATCTCGTATCCTAGACTCCGAAAGTGATTGACCCCTCCAGACCGCCATTTCGCAGCTTCTAAATTTCCTACATTGATGCTCCGACCGCTTCATGCATGAGGATCGGGCACCCAGAACATCACATCTTGATCTGCCGTCGCAAAGAAGTTGTACCGCGGGTTGAATGCTAACACCGCTGCCTCTCGCTTTTCCTCCAATACCCATGTAGCGTCGAGGGTCTTGTTCTCGTTCTGGGGCGGTGTCAAGATATCCCAGACCAGGACATCCTTTGGACCACCGCTCAGAACGTAACGACCGTCCACAGAGAAGCAGCAATCACCGCTGCTCTCGATTGTGGGCTGGTCCGTCTTCGGCATACTGCCGTTGATGGTGCTTGATGTCTCACCAGCCGCCAGCCGCCGGGTTCCGCCCTCGGGCTTACGCAGGTACGCCTTCAAGCTCCCGTCGAAAGCATCGAGTATGAAGTGGCCGGGGCCGCGAGTGCCGACGAGTATATGCTTGCCGTCGTTCGAAAATTCCAGCTTTGTCCAACCCCTGACTACGAACTGTGAGTCCACGTGTCTGCCGGCATCAACGACATCGAAGGTCGCAAATGGCGCCTTGTCGTAGTTGCGGCAGTCATATAGCAGAACGCTTCCGCTATTCGTACACGCGACAGCAAAAGTCTGCCCCGACGGATCGTATGCGGTGAGATACGGAGAGTTGAGGTTCAGTTGACCGCACCATTGCTTCGTCGAAATATTCCAAAGGCGCACAGTATTGTCTTGGCTACAAGAGATGAAGTTATCAGCGCCTGGGTGTATGGCAATATCTGTGACGCTCTTCTCGTGGCCCTCGAAGTATCGGATGAAGGAATTATCGTGGGTAGCCAAATATCGAATCTGATCTGGTAGACGTTAGCCATTGTGCGGCGGGTTGAGCGTAAGAGCGCCTACCATTCTGCTTCGTACTCGCGTAGATGATGCTGGAGCTCGTATGCGTGAACTTTGCCAGCTTGACGCCGTACTTCTTGCTTAGCAAATTCTTCTTGTGTATGCCTTCCTTTACGCTGTAAATCTGAATCGTCTCGTCGCTCTCAGAGGTCATGAGAAGTTCGCCTGGGTCGTCGAAGTCGAGTGACAGCACGTGAGGTTGCGGACGGCCATCCTTGATGTCTTGCCTTTTGAAAAGCTGGAAACTAATCAGTCAGAGAGCTCCCTAGACGGTTTTTGGGCACTCCTTGCCTTTGTTGGGCGAAATGACGATATGACTTCGCTCAAAGGGGTAGTATTGTTGGTTGTCAGAGACCGCGTAATGTTGAGCGAATTTCCGTTAGCTGGAGTCGACTCGCGATGGTCCAAGTTCATAGGCGTTGAAGCCATGATGGGTTCCTTGAGGATTCCGAGAGCTATACTGTCTGAGTCGAACAGCGACACCTCAAATGATGCTGTCGCGAGCCGTAAGTAAACGACCCGTCGCAGGAGGAAACTTGAGGCTGTGCGGCAAACTCGGCAGAACTCGGCAAGTTCCTTCAAAGTATGTGTGAATAAGTGCAGTCGTCCTGAGGTTGCTGCAGGTATGAATCATGTGAACGGGAAGTCAGACCGCGTCTTGTCATGCGATGCGACTGGAGGAAACCAAAGAGCTTCCCCAATTCACTTTCGCGGGGTTGTGGTAATGGGAGAGCTGACTGTGCCACAGTTTTTAGACCACCCCTGGCGTGTTCGAGATCGGTTCTCAGCCACACCTTGTAATTGCCAGCCTCCCATCGTTGACAATGCACGACTTCGCATTGGAAACTGGCGTCCGGCAATGGGCCAGCTAAATTGACGCCCCCCTTTTTGGTCAAGGTCTGGGGTACCGAATACCGACTTAGGCCGCTGTGGCCCGCGAACCCTGCCAATTGGGACCTACAGACGCCGGGATCGGCAATGGCTATCCACGGCCATATTGACTTTGAGCAAGAAAAATCCCAATTTCTCTTCCGCGCGCGGAGCTTACTGAGAGACCTGTAGACCTGTAGCCCCGGTAAAAGGGTCAATCCAGTCACGTCGGCCCAGTGCCAGCCCGACGGAACTCAAGCCATATCGCAGTCATATCGCCAACTTCCTCTCTTGAGTTGCGCGCATTACGGCGAACGGGTTCTCGACCAGTAGGCTATGTAAGAATCTGCTCAGAAATTTGCATTTGTCGATGTTGACTGGCTATCGACTTGCCACGACGTCAATGTTGCTGACCCGCGCTGTTCCGTCATTTTAGGTACTAGCATTCCGAGATCGCGGTGTCACTCTTTTCTCTTTCTCTCTCTCTCTCCTTCCAAACGAACCCCGACTATCATAGAAGTCGCAACCACAAATTACCAGCATCTTACACATCGACGATATCCAATTATTTCTTATCGCTGCGACAAGACCGATTGACACAATGTCAACAACCCTTGGGCAAGTCATGGCCCGCAGTTCGGCATCCGCAAGACCAGCGAAGCTAACCTTCGCAACAGCGCCTTCATCGCCGGCGGCATTGCCGCCTGCGGCGCTGTAACGGCCACGCATCCTTTCGAGACTGTCAAGATCCGGTGCGTCTGATAGCGACGACGCTCGCTCCTTTCCCGCACCCTGCCGCCGGCAACGCGCTGACCCCTCCCCCCGACGTGTGCAGAATGCAGTTGCAAGGAGAATTGAAGGACAAGGGACACCAACCGCATCAGTACAGAGGCCCTCTGCAGGGTGTCTCTGTTATCGTGCGTAATGAGGGCGTGAAAGGAATCTACCGCGGTATCGGCTGCGCGTACATCTACCAGGTCCTGCTGAACGGATGTCGTCTTGGATTCTACGAGCCAATGCGCGAAACCCTGTCGACTCTCATCTTCAAGGACGGCAAGACGCAGAGTCTGGGCATCAACATGGCTTGCGGTGCTGGATCAGGAATCATGGGTGCCGCCGCTGGCAGCCCTTTCTTCCTTGTCAAGACACGGTTACAAAGCTACTCTCCCTTCATGCCCACTGGCACACAACACAAGTACCGCAATGCTTGGAACGGTATGACCTCAATCTACGGCGCCGAAGGCATTCGGGGACTCTACCGTGGTGTTGGTGCGGCCATGATCAGGACGGGTTTCGGTAGCTCCGTGCAACTTCCCACCTACTTCTTCGCCAAGCGGAGACTGGTCCGCCACTTGGGTATGGAAGAGGGTCTGCCTCTGCATCTTGCTAGCAGTACCGTCAGTGGTTTCGTCGTTTGCTGCGTGATGCACCCTCCTGGTAAGTCTCAACTCAAGATTCCCCAAGCATATTTCTGTACTAATCCTCATGGCAGACACCATCATGTCTCGCCTTTACAACCAAAACGGAAACCTCTACAAGGGTGTCTTCGACTGCCTGGCCAAGACTGTCCGCACTGAAGGCTTCTTGGCTATTTACAAGGGTTTCCTGCCTCACTTGGCTAGAATCCTGCCCCACACCATCCTTACCCTGACCCTGGCGGAACAGACAAACAAGCTGATGAGAAAGCTCGAAGACCGCATCCTGCCTTCGGCCACCATCCAGACCCCGTGATCAACCATTGATCTTGTACCTATTAAATCAGCGTTCCTTGCATATATGGAGTTAAAAATGAGCTGGGTAGACGGGGTGGGAATGTCGCGAGCCGATGATGGGCTTCTAGAGAACATATTGGGGGTTGGCTAGGAATGTAGTGAGGCAGAATAGGGTCACGCCAGACAGGCTGGCCGGTGAAGGTGCTTTGAACGCGCATTCTCTGTTCGATCTATCCATATATAGACCGTTCGCATCCATAACATAGTTTCCCTGCGGTGCGCTTCCTGCTGTCGTCAATATCCTCTCCTATCTCACCCTTCCAGCGAGCATCTCCTTGTGCGTCCACATCCATGCCGCAGACCGCGCACGCATCGCCGTCGCTCTCTCGTGTCAATTTGCCACTGGTGCGAACGACGTTGGCGACGACGGAGGGATAACTCTCCTCCACTTCCTCAAAGTACCGCGCCATGACATCCTCGATGCTGAGCTCCTTGTGCGAGACGACAGCGTTGCTGCTTGGTCCCACTTCCTGGGCAAGATCCTTCAAAGACGGTATCAGGCCCGCATACGTGATGACCTCTCGCCTGAAAACGTCTCGAAGAAGGTAGTACACTGGAAGCATCGTCTTCTCCGTCCCTCGGACAGCCCCCTCGCCGCCCTCCGCGCTTTGCCCCTCCCCAACATGGGACAATGTCGTGACGGGAACGGGACCGTCGGCGACCTGCCACGGCACGGCGAACCCGCGGCCCTTGGCCGTCTCGGCGAGCGTCAGCTCGGCCAGGGCGGTCGTGGTGCATCCCAGCAGCAGCGCGTGGCACTCCCTCTCCACGGCCAGCGACAGCAGCAGATTCCGCACCAGGAGCCTCATGATGTCCACCCGCGACGTGACGGACGGCAGGGCCTCGAGGAGGCCGCTGAGCTGCTGCGCGGGCGCGAGCCCGGGTTGCAGGGCGGGGAGGACGGACCAGTCTATCGTATCCAGCTTGAGGGCGTCGGCCAGCGGGACGATCTGCATCGAGAGGTTGGGGAACTGCTCCTTGTACTTTTCAAAGAGCAGGCTTGCCGACGACGACGAGATCGCGGCGTCTGCGGCGTTTGACAGGTCGGTGTCTATGTGGACGACGTGCACCTCATACGCGACGCGCAGGTTCTTGTCCTTGAGACCTTGGAGGTTCTTATCGAGCACCTGAACCAAGGAGGCCGACGAGGGGCCGAGGGAGAGGCCGAGGAGATACTTTGCTCTTGCGTCGGGGGTAGTGCCCAGCTTGTCCTTTACATCGCGGTATGGCTGGGCGAGGCGCTTCACGACTCTTTGGACGATATGCTGTTCATAGCAAGTCCTGTGCATATTGGTTAACTCTGTATAACCTGAGCCTAGAGAATGTACATGTGAGAATACTTACTCGCAAAGAGGATCCTTTCTCACTTTCAAGACAGTCGGTGTCTTGCATCGTCTACATGGGCGAGGTTCCGTGTTGCTGCTCATGACGGCGGGTCGGGCAGCAATGACTGACGTCAAAGTGCTAGGGCGGCTCAGGTGTGGTTATTGAGTTTTAAAGGAGTCAAATTCAGACTATTCTCGAATATGAGTATTGTATACTTTATTATGGCCTCATAAGTGTCCAAGAGGATGTTGCCGTACTTTGTTGTCGATGATGAAAAGTGAGGAAAAGGTTCCGCCACCAAAGTTGACTCAGACTCATACTTTCTTTGGTGTGTGTAATTTGAAATTTTTTGGGCTGAACCATCCTTCCCCATCACCCCCGCGAAAATTACCCAACATCTATTGAAGTCAATAAATGAAGCAAGCATACTGGGACTTTTTAAATAGACATTTTCCATTCATTAGATCAAGGTATTTTCAAGTTCATTATGTTTTAGGCAACCGTCGTCGTTCTCATCTGTTCATGCACATCCTTTCCCGCCGAGGAAAACAGTGTTCAACCTTCCGTAATGAACAATGAGGAAGAAGACGATGTCCTATATACCTACAATATGTTATATCATATGTCTTCGTGCTCGAACAACAAAACTAGCGTCAACTGAAATCGATTTCCATCATACAGAATTAAGTAACCTGTCCCGTCACAACGAGATTCTAGTTGAATGCAACTCGGGCTTATGAAAAGACGCAGCCTAGGGGATGCTTCTCAAAGAATCCGCGGTCCTTCGCCCAAGCATTCTTCAAAATGTCTCTGCCCTCAGTCGCCACTGCCCTCGCTTGGTCTTGCGAGCCCCAGCCCTGCACTGTTGTGCCAAACCCGATGAGATGAACGGCAACATGAAGTAGTGTTCGGAACGCAAAGTCGTCATCCACTGCACCGTAGCCGTTAACGAAACCTTGGATCAACCAGACTCCCGCTTCCATGTCTTTGTATAGCTTCAATTCGTATAGTTCCGCAATCATCTGGCCTAGGTCAAGAGGTTTGACTGCAAGTTGGCACATCTCCCAATCGACGACAAGAAGGCAGCTATGTTCGTCGTCCCAAGGTTTCCCTTCTAGAAGAATGCTAATAAATTGTTAGTAGCATTATTGGAATGTAAATGATTGGGGCAGCTTACTTTCCGGTCCAAAAGTCGCCGTGGATGACCTGCAGGGCTTGCTCGTTTACCATTTCCTCCTTTACGCTGTCCACGATGTCTGCAAAGATATCATTACAACCCCCTAGAATATCCGGGAATCGCTTGATGGAAATGGGGAGCCGTTCATAGTTCATCCATCGCTTCAGCGTTTGCATTTCCTTATTTCCCGCTGCGATATCGCGAAACTTGAGCTGATGTTCCGAGTTGCTCCAGTCATGAAATGACCGGAGCCACGCACCCACAGCCGTACCAATTTCGAGGGATAGTGACTTGACTGATTCTAGAGTTGATGTCTCCAGAGTTGGCGCCTCCAGGGTTGACGCTGCGAAGTACTCAATTGCATAGTTCTTGAGGCTGAGTGGGCTTGGCTGGTACGCTTGAACCTGGGTATTGGTCTCTTCATTGAAGTAGAACAGCTTCGGAGTTGCTACGGTGATCTTCTCGCCGGTGTGTGGTGAAAGGGCTGAGAGGTCTTTCAAACAGCTCTCTTCGATCCGCTGCCTGAGGTCAGCCATTGATGTCCTCCTGGTCGAAGATATAGGGACTCACGCATCTTGACGTGGGGAGTTCGAAATCGGGACTCTGGGCCACGAAACCCTCGCCATGCTTTACAGCTACCTCTGCAGTCCCATCGAGCAGTGGCTCCAGCAGCTTCACGTGAAAAATGAAGTTTGTCGTTCCTCCACTGAGAAGGCGGGCAGACTCGAGGGAGTATGGCGTACCTGCCAACTCCGCCTTGACCTCACGAAGCACACGATCCGATGTGCTTTCGTCTGCCATCGCGATTATGAGATTTGCGGCCGAAGCTCAATAAGGGCAGTTTTGTCACCTGTCTGGGAAAGCGGGGATAGCTTGCGATATCTGCACCGGGTTGGAGAATGAGGGGGTGTGAAGTTTGCGTCACCCACGAGGTAGTTCAATAAATCACTAGAATACTTTCGAGTAATAAACTAAGGAAACGACGGGCTTCATTCGAAAACCGCTGGGAACGCTCTTTCTCTTCGTTATCTCCCAACAAATTGATCGGGGTGTCGCTTCCCCAGGACAGGTTGAATAACAGGGCAGCAGCAACCTGCAGCTAAAGGGCAGATGACTCACTCGGCGTGAAGTTTCAATCTCTTCCATCGCATCGCGAAACCCGTAGACCTCGAAATATACTGTCAAATGAGAAACTAATCCAAGTCACCCACTTCCTAGATTGCTTTGCTGGCCGTCACGAACAATCAATCATTCGTCCAGAGTATCACAAAATGTATGGATGTCCAGTACCGGCACTATGCCTTGCCTCCTCCACCTTGAAAGACCATCTACCACAAATTCAAGTTGTTGCAATGAAGCATGCACCATACACCAAGCGCGGAAAGGGCAGTCCGATCATAGAATAATCCAAAGTTCTGCCCTCAGCTCGGCTTGCTCGCTCACCGAGATGACCATCCCAGTGTCGATGAATATTTGAGTTCTTCGTTCTCTAATGGGCACACGAATTTGGCCACACGAATTTGGGCTTTCGCGTCAGACGAGCTCCTATCCAAGCGAGAATTACAGAGAAAGACCTAAGCCTCGCAATACTGAGGTCGAGGCCGACGCTCTCGATAACTTGTAACTATCACAGGACCTTGGCCTACAAGGGCACCGCGCTTGACTAAAAATAAGGTAAGCTGTTCTGTGAGACATTTGATGTGATCCACCACTTACACCCACTGATAGGCCCGATGAAAGAAGAAGTATACCAGGTCAAACAACGCCATCCACTGACAACGATCTCGGCATACTTACAACCATGGCTGATCATGTAAGCCTCTAATGGGTTCTCAACGACAAGGATGTTTCATGCCTTTCTGGATGTAAACAGAGGCCATGGCGTTGCTGACCGCTGTGCTACGTCCGAGAGGTAGTCGAAACGGACCATTTTTCACGCTGAAAATGACTTCTGTGCAATTTAGAGGTAGGAGGAGATTGAAGATGGGCAGCGGGAGGAAGTGGAACAGCAGTAGTTTCCCTTGGCAGTGTAAGTAGATCAAACGACACATGCAACTCCAAACCCCAGTCTCTTGTCAAATGGCCCTTGACCTCTGCAGGTCAAAATTACAGTCTCACCAGAGCACATCGGTGGTTTTCGACTTGGCTTGAGACGGTCTGGAATATTATACCTAGTCTCTGTCGGGACAAGGATGACCCACTGGAAATTGGGTGGTTGGATAGTTCCAATTCGAGTTCAGCCACAGCAGTATAAAAGAGAATAAGCGGCCAACCACCGGGCCGCACCGGTCTTGGACACTAACATATGCCAGATCCTGATCTGACTGGGGGTTGAGCGCCGCGGAAGAACGGTTCGATGAGCCGTGAGCAAACATGCTTATCTGAGCACCTCACCGCTCTTCCCGATGGATTGATTCTGTGGGCGGCTCTGGAGAGGAATCAATGTGGCGGAGGTGTGCTCCGGAACAACTTCGACTAGGAAAGAACACCCGCGAATAGCTGTGACAGCTCTTTACCGAGCGGATGGGACGTGGCATGGCGGGATATCAGGGTGATCCGTCTCGGAGCCGCGCTCATACAACGTGTAGTCTTGGCAGGGGACCGGGACTGCTTTGCGCGAGTTGAAAGGGCGGCAACTATTAAAGCTGGAACATGACGTTGATGCGTAGTGGATATGAGCGTATCTCTAGCTTGCTCGGATGAACTGAAAAGTGACGGACCGCATGTTGTGCATGGGTAATGGGCTTGTAAATAGAAGGGAGATAGAATGCAAGTAGACCACGGACGTATGACGCCTAAGCGCGCTCGGTTGACGAGGTTGAGGCCAAGTCTGGGCGCCTAAGAAATAACGCGCTTCGGATCTTGTTTGAATTGAGAAAAGCATTGGGCGTAGTGTAATTTCTGTTCTCCTATCCGTATCCAGCTAAGAAAGTTTGCAAGCGCCCTGCTTATCAAAGTGATTTGCTTGTGATATGCGGAGTACAAGGTACGGATAGCAGCGTCAGAATAAAGCCTAACGCAAAAATTCAGGAACGGAAAGAAATGGAGACTTGGGGCACATGTTCGGACCGTCAGAAACCAAAGTGCTGGGGAAAGCAAAACGCAACAGTCGGGAGTTTGGTCTAGCAACACACATGGCACGAGGGAGTCAGGGAGTCAGGCATTGAGATGGGACGAGATTCTTCTATTTGGAACAGAAAGGCGACCCACATGGGAAACAGTGAATGGCCAATGCAGCCGAGCGATCCAGAACAGGTAGGGTAGAGCCGCAGAAGCGTTTGTAGTGAGACGGTGGTCGCGACCTACCCCTTTTCCTACTACCTATCCATTATCCAATGATTCAGGACGTGCTTGACTTTTTCAACGTCTGCTCCGTACCTACTCCGTAGTCCACTGCTGCTGTCTGGCGAATGGCTGGCAGGCGGGGACTGGGAGACTTGGAGTTGCATCCCAACCACTCGATCAAACAGCTTCGGGGGTGAAACGGGGCGGTGCTGGTCGCTCAGTGCTTCACCCACTTCTTGGCCCGCCACTATTACTTTAGCCATTGATGGCGATAAAAGTCGTACGTGCTTTCTAAGGTATTTGAGGGCGCCTGAGGCTCTGCAGTGTCTGTACCTAGGAGCCAAGTACAATACACCTGAATGTTCTTGATGCCTTCAGCCGACAAGCAGAAGGCTTACTGTACATATAGGGCAAGAGACGGGAGTGAGGCATATGCAAGTATGTACCTTGTGTAAGTATTCCACGCTTTCCATGCAGCAAGTAGGTACTGCAGCAGGTACGCTCAAGCGCTCAGATGCGCCAATGACCATTTCCCTTGAATCCCCTCGACTCCCGACCACCTCTTCCCTGTCTCCCAAGCCTGTCACCTCTCAAAGGGCTGCTCTTGTTTCTTTGATTTCAGACACCGTCAACCACTCAAATGGGAGCTGGTGAGCTGACTTGGAGTCCTCTCCGCAGAACCCCTCACCAAGCCCCATGAGGCACTTTAGGAGATGTGGCCCAGAGCAATGCGCGCGTCTGCGACTCGCTGCGCTTCTTTCTGTTCTGCCCGTGGGGTCTTGACCATTTATTGGTTTGATGATCCCCCTCGGGTGTACCTGAATTGAGCATTGATTACCTTAGATGGATGTACATGATAGTCAAAACAGCAAGAGGAACGCAGTAAGCATAACGCAAGATACTTGTACCATCTACATCCAAAGTCCCCATTTCTGCCCCTGAGACAAGAGGTACCTTACAAGTCACATTGCAATATCATCTCATCAACAATGCCAACCTGGTACCAATGGTCCAATGCCACTGCAATGCATTAAAGAAAAAGGGACTCCACAAACTAATTTTGTCCTCTCTGCGCCCATTCGCCCACCTTCAGATGGCGCCTCTGATCCCTCTCTCTCTCAAGCTTGCTGCAATGCGCCCTGCTTCTTCTTTTCCTGCGACATCGCTGTGCCGATCAGCGCCCCTCCCCTCAAAGCTTAACTCTGACGGGCACCATTGTAATTTTAATCACCACCAAGCTTGGCTTGGGGCCGAGACTTTTAATTCCAGACTTTGTTCGACTCGTCCAATGTCTCCGTAGCTATCCCGTCACTCGTCACCGCCATTGGAGCTCTTCCGGCATCGTCATTGTCAACTCACTCCCGTCTCCCGTACATCCCGTCAGGTCCTCTCCTCTTTCTCCTCTTTCACTATCCAGTTTCGAAGCCGTACCATAGCTTCAGGTTCTTCCTCCACGCCTTGGCTACTCCATCGCATCTCGCCCCCGCTGAGTAAATACTCGGCACTTGACCTGTCGTCAATTCCACCACACTGTATCAGGCTTGCGGCTTGACTCCGTCACTCTTTTGAGAGGTATTTGACACGGCGCTACGGATACTTAGGTACTACATTACCTTACTGCGAAGCCCGTTGACCCTCACCGCATCTTGACATTCCAATTTTTTTTTATTAAAGACCATACCGCTCTACCCGACCCCCCCCCCCCCCATCCGTTACACAGCGCTCTTCATCCCTTTGCTGCCATCACTTGCCTCTCAAACTCGAGATTCGTCTCCTTTCCTTGGCATCCCAAGTTTCACCACTCAAATACCTGACCTCTCAGCCCCCCCGGCACAAGACATCTACACACGACACGCCCGTGCGAAAGGAGTCAACGCTGAAGCTCCTCCTTCTCCTTCTCTGCTCCCCCCCTTTCCGCAGCAACACTGCGCGCGCGACCCGTCTCGACCCGCCTTGCACACTCGTTTCTAACCATTTACCTTTGTGTCCAAACACATTTTCTGGTCCTTCTCTCGTTTTCGCAAGGGCAGCAATCAGCATAAACAACGCCCCAGTCGGTCCCAGCAAAAATACAACGGCAATCGAGCAAGGGCACGATAATAGAGCTACCACCGACGCGCGACTCCCACTCGGTATATCCACTTCCAGCCACCTCGACTTCTTTTTGCCTCGTCCAACACCCGACTTGACCTTGCAGAAATCCTTTGGCTACCTTACCTACCGATACCTGGACTAATACCCGGAGACCCAACGCTGCCGGCACTGCCTGCTTTAGTCGCATCGCTTGTTCACCCGCCGCCGCCGTTTTCTACAAGTCTCTCGTTCTTCGGCAACTTTGCGTCTTTGCCCGTTCCGCCCATCGTCGTATCGTTCCCCGGACGGACTTTTTGCACGGGAATCTCTTTAATGTGCGACTTTACGCGACTGCCATCCTACTTTCACCCACAACCACACGATACGAATTAATATCTTCATCATGACGACCATGGCCCAGTCGCAGATTCAGCTGCCTACGCCGCATCCGGCACCAAGCTTGGACGTCACCATCCCACCATCCTCGATATCTCTTCCCACCGATCCCAATTCTCGACTTCGAAGCCGCTTGGCCCTAGACACCTATTCGTCGCCCGTTAATCAAAACGGCAGCTTCGAGTTCGACCGTGTTGTGAAGAGCGGCTACCTGCAGAAGCGCACACAGAAGACAAAGGTTCGTAGGACCCGTATCCATTTATGCTTGAGGACCATTTCTGACCAATTGTGTAGACTTGGAAGTCAATTTACTTCGTCCTCCGACCCAATTCACTCTCAATTTACCGATCCGACAAGGAGGACAAGCTGCGACACAAGCTGTACCTCGCCGACTTAACCGCCGTTGCTTTGCTCAAGGACCCCAAAAACAAGAGAAAGAACGTGTTTGGACTCTTTTCGCCAGCGAGGAACTACCACTTTCAGGCTAGCAGTAGCCACGATGCAGAGGAATGGGTGGATTTGATTAGGAGCCATGCCCGTATTGAAGAGGAACATGATGAGCTGCTCCTTGCCAGCCCGAATGGCAAGCGGCAATCCTACCTTGTGGTTGGCAGATCCGCCCAGGCTGGAGACATGGCACGAACTGAAAGGCTTGGATCAAGCTCTCCTGAGCCGCTGGAACCTCCAGTGCCGCGCTTTGTTGGCTCAACCCATCGACGTCCATCGCAGATGGCGGATACCGCTGGGTACTCAGGCAACGAACTCGCCTCGCATTCGGACTTCTCAGACAACGAGATTCAAAGGATACAGGGCATGTCCATTGAAGACCTGGCGGTCCAGTTGCCGAGCAAAGGCACCCAGGACCGGCCAGGTCTTGACCGTAATGCGAGCCAACTTAGCGGTCTCAATATTGAGCAAGATCCGGATCGCGTCATCTGGCAGGGCTGGCTTTGGTTCCTCCGCAGCAAGGGCGGCGTGAAGCAATGGAAGAACCTTTGGGGTGTGCTCCGGCCGAGAAATTTTATTCTCTACAAGGACGAGTCCGAGTACACGGCGCAGTTCATTCGACCAATGTCGGCAATTGTTAATGTGGTTGACATTGACCCGGTCAGCAAGACCAAGAAGCACTGTCTGCAGCTCATTACGGAGGAAAAGAGCTACCGATTCTGCGCCCACGACGAAGAATCTTTGATTCATTGCCTTGGCGCATTCAAGAGCTTATTCGCCAAGAGACGAGAGCTCGAGACGCGGGGTCCTACAGGAGGAAACCAGCCCACTACAAATGCGGCATGAAGCTGCAAGTCATTACTAGGCAACCCACAGGATTTTCTTTTTTAGCGGGAGTTTTGCCACAGCCTTTTTTCTTTCTTTTGTTTACGAAGCATGACGCAACGATATTTATTTGGGACTCTACAGAGTCGAGGAGCCGGAGAGAAATGCTTGCTAATAGCTTTTGCTACTCAGCCGCAGCTACGGTCGAGTGTCAAGAAGACGACGACGACTCGGGCGCTGGTGCATTTCTTGGGAGAACGAGAGGGAAAAGGCCAGGCCACTCTTGGGAGAAAGAAGCCTATTAGCCAACCGCTTTGTTTTAGTATACCCTACCTTAGTGTGATACTATAGGCAGACTTTGACTGCTGGCCGTCTCAATATGAGGAGGCGGGTTACGAGTGACGATAATAATGAATAAATATTCTACTGCATTTCTGAGTTTGTCATTGTCGCTCAGTGATGCGAAGGCTTCTGTGCTTAGACCGGCCAGTGTTGCACAGACGAAAGCCCCCTGAACGACAGGAATGTCAAGAAATGATCATTCTCATTAGGTCACTGGCAAGTCATTTATTGCCTCTTGTGACACAGGATCTAGCAGACTCCCACGGCAAACCAGACCAGGCAGGTGTTATTGACTTGATGACCGCTTTGGCCGAACTTGACCAATAGCGCTGAAGATATTATTTCTCCAACTTTTGGAGGTGGGAGGGCTTTGGTACTAAGAATTATGAGAGGGAACTCAGGAAGGGGGGGACGCGAAGAAAAAAACGGTGTGGCGAATGAGAGTGGCGCAAACAGCTCAGACCTCTGTTAGTGTTGTCCAGCTCCAGCCCCGGTCGGGTGACGTGGACCCTCTTTTATCGGACGGTCCTATGGCGCCGCGTCCCGGCCACACCAACCTCACCTCCGCCGCCGGTTCCTTTTCAGTCTACGGGCCTTCTGCGCGTTTGAATACCACCCACACCTTTCCTCTGCATAGTAAGCTCTCGCCTCTGAGCTTTCCCCTTGGCTCTTTGGACGACACCCTGACAGATCTTAACCTTGTGAAATGCCTGCATGGCAAATGCCGTTCCTGGCCGAGACAGGCGAATCACACGCCGCAACGGCCATGCGTCCAGCAACGGCTTACCCCTGTCTATGGCGGGGGGGACCTGACGAAGAGAAAGAGGTCTCGGTACGCTTCTTCTCTGCTGTTGGCTCTGTGACGCTTTGGATCAACAACTTAGGGCACTGCTTTGAGAGTAGTTACGTGTTGGTTGTTTGCGGTCGAGTATAGGCGTGTTCATGGGTTGTTTGGCTCTCCGGCTGCTTTATCTTTTCCTATAGTGACGGACGGGATACAACCCTGTCGTGAGGAGAGCATGGGCTCGGTATACTGCGCCGACTCTATTCGTCCGAGGTTCTACACCTTTTGAGAAGCGCCTTTGACAGATGTGATTGATCGATGCTCCGTATGGATGGAACCTCTCCAGATGGACGCCCCCTTCTTCTAGGGAGGCGACTTCTTCTCTACTCGCACTTCCGTTTGGGCGGCCTGGGCATTTACGAGCAATGATATATATGGTAGGTCAGTTAAGGGTCGCGTGCTATCACCTCGGCGTTGTTTTTGAATGACTTTCTCTCGATCTTTCGCCCACACCTTTCTCTGCGAGCAGGGCGAGCACTTTCTCTGCCCGAAGGGTTGTATCGCTGGTTTCTGTTGGACCTGCAGGTAGTCAGTCGCCCTTCTGTCTCTTGGGGGGCTCCCTCAGCTGCTCTCCTTCAAGGTTCCATAGGACGTCCTCGTGGACTATTTCGGCACTTTCTGCGTACTTGATCTGGCAGATCAGGATGCTTCATACCTGATCGACGTTTGCCCCGCGCGTATTATATTACTTCTTTTCTTCTGCTTCTCGGCTACTTATTAGCATTAAGAGTCGACCATCCGTAGGCTGTCTGACTTGGCGACGCTTTCAAAGACTAGAGCTTTGTCTAGTATCTCTATATCGACACACGATCGTAGTGATCTGGGGGAATAAAACAGCTCGTAGGGCGATATCACAACAACGCGATAGTAAAAGTACCGTCTTGATAACAACAATATCAGAAAAAAGCGCCAACAATGAGGCTCGTCCCTATCCTCTGGGCCGCCTGGTCCCTCATCCTACCCGTCCTTGCCCAAAAGCCGCAACTCCCCCTCTTCTCAACATCTCGCTGGATAACAGACTCGTCCAACGCCCGCGTCAAACTCCGCTGCATCAACTGGGCCGGCCATATGGAGGTCAACCTCCCTGAGGGTCTCCACAAGCAGCCGATAGAGTACCTGGCCGACTGGATCAAGCAGCAAGGCTTCAACTGCGTGCGCCTCACCTTCTCGACAGACCACGCCACGAACCCGGGCGTCACCGTCCGCGACTCCTTCGTCAACGGCGCCAAAGCAGCCGGCGTGCCCGAGGCCGACCTGCTCAAGCTGTACGACCAGGCCCTAGTCCAAAACCCGTTCCTCGCCGACGGCAACATAACGCAGCGCGACGTCTTTGGCAAAGTCATCGACGTCCTCTGGGAGCGCGGCATCATGACCATCCTCGACAACCACGTCAGCAAAGCCTCCTGGTGCTGCAACCTCGACGACGGCAACGGCTGGTGGAAAGACGCGCGGTTCTACTGGGCCGCCAACTCGCGCTACTTTGACACGGACGACTGGCTCACGGGCCTGCAGCAAATGAGCCTCTGGGCCAAGACCAGACCGGGCGTCGCGGCCATTTCCATCCGCAACGAGTTGCGTGCCACCTGGACGCAGATTCCCTTTGCCGCGGATCAGTGGTACGGCTACGTGACGCGCGGGGCTAAAGTCGTCCACGAGGCAAATCCGGACGTGCTCGTCATCATCGGGGGGCTCAATTCGGCCACGGACTTTTCCCCGCTACGGACGAAGAACCTCGATACAAGCGCGTGGAAGGGGAAGAACGTGTGGGAGGCGCATAGCTACAGCTTCACGGTGACGACGCCAAATTTCGGAGACTGCAATGTTGAAAGGGCAGAGTACGGCGCCTTGTTCGGCTTCGTGCTGGAGCAGGGTAAAGGGTACACCGGTCCGCTGTTCATGTCCGAGTTTGGGGCCGCCATGCAGGGCGGGAGCGAGGACGGGCTGTCGGCCGAGGAGCACGCGTACCTGACTTGCCTTGTGGGCTATCTCGAGGACAATGACGCGGATTGGGCGTTGTGGGCGATTCAGGGGTCGTATTATGTGCGGAACAAGGCGGTTGATTTCGACGAGACGTGGGGTGCCATGGATCACGAGTGGAAAGGTTGGAGGAATGGCAAGTTCAAGGGGCTCTTGGGGAACATTTTTGCCGTTACTCAGGGGCCTTAGCATGGCTGCTGGGAGGGTGAGATTGTGGAATTATGCGAGATGTCAGTTTTCGGGTTCGGGATGATGTATGTAGATCTTGCCCGGATGATGGACAGAGATAGTTTACCACTTTAAAATTAATGTTGAGGACCGGCCCCCTTTCGTGTTGTGGCGAGGACATTCTGTGCCACCAGGCATCCAGATGGGTC